GAGACTTTACAAGCATTTAAACAGCATTATAGCATCAGAAAGGCTACAAGGAATTCAGATGCTAGTGCCTCCTCCACAAAATACAACTAGTGCGAGCATGAGTCCACTGACCCTGAGAGGTATATCTATGAGAGTTTCAGGGTTCTATAGATGATTTTCAGTCCAGGCTTTCTTCATTGGCCTCTTCAGGAGTTCCGTTTTGATGCATTCTAAACTTCCTTGATCAAATTTACGGATTCACTGGCGATGATGTCTTTCAATGAAACCCAAGGACAATTCAAAAGCACTTCCAGTGCATACTAGTCTTGAGCCTTCTTCTCGTATTCTAAGGAGGACTGCTTGTCAAGAGCAGTAACTTCTTTCGGGATACCCCTGACATAGTCCTCTTGAATGATTGTGGTGTCCGACGACAATGAACACTATTTGCCAATTATCAGAAATTCAAGGCTCAATCATCGAAAGAGGAGGAAGAGTTGTCAGAAACAATCCAAATCTCCTACACGAATTCAGAATTTAAGGCTGTTCTGAACGCTTAACAATTCTTTCACATTAAACAACCCTTTATCAGTGGAGAAGCAACCTGCCACCTACCGCCATTGGAGGACACCCTGAGCTTTTCGACTTACGATTCTCAGCGAAAGCTGCCAAATTCGGTAATCTTCTAACTATTATTTGCCCATTTGTACCGTTAATGTGCAGAGTCATCGTGTTCTGTTAGAACGCGGCTCTTCTGCCATAGACACTGTTTACCATCTTTGTGATGCACCCTGTATAGAGCAGAATCGTCGATTGTGTGCTGTGCAAAGGAAACGCCTATTTCATCATTCTGAGGAAACATTTTTTGAGGAAACATTTTTTATAGTCCTCAATAACTCTGATTTGTGCAAAGTTGCGAAATAGAAAGAAGAAGCAAGAACGTACTGCGCGCCTTCATCTCCGCTTTCACGTTCCACAATATTCTCCTTTGTAATAGTCGTAGAAGGCGGGCTTGCTGTCACGTCCTTCTGTTGTTGTCGACGGAATCGTTCCAAGCTCACCTATAAAAGTGCATTAAAATGATCAAACAGTTTGAGCCCCCAAAAGCCATTACTACGTTTGTTTGCAATACAACAGATTCGCGAATGAAGTAATCGATTTTATTAACACAAATACTCAGTGCTGAATAACCTATTCTTAGGATGCGCCACGCGTCTTAGATCCACCCTCAATCGTAGTGAAATGTGAACACGACTTGTCCCATAGAATAATTTGCGTGGGAGACAGAAAACATACATGCGTCTGGTACCAATTGAAGGAGGCGATTACGATATAGGGAGCGTGTTGGAGAATACACACCACACGAAGGAGTTACTTGGCTGCCAAGAAAGCGAGGTTTCAAGACAAAAATTGCGCTAGTTACAGAACAGTTCTCGAAAAAGCGATCCCCGCGCTCCATCCACTAGTTTAGTTAATGCCCTTGGACGAGCTGTGTTGCCAGCAGCGGCACAACTGGAGCAACTCGACTGGTGTATCGGATTGGGCATAGGTGCCACCGAAACGGGGGATATACTTCGTCCAGGCGTACCGTGTTTACAAACTATCCCAGCACTCCTCAGCGAAAAATCAAACGGATAACACAGGGGGGGGGAAGAGGGGTCCCGTCTTTTTCTTGATGAATTTCTCTGGTTTTTCGCCACTGACATACGATAGAATATCTCACCTCCCTTCTTAGCCCAATGGCGGTTGAAAAAAACGGGAAGGCGAGGGGGGGGGGGGGGTAGATCATCCAAACTCTTCCATTTGTTCGATTCAAAAGGTGTTCTAGGTGAGGACATGGACATGCAACCCCACCAGAATGAAGAGTGGTGCAACCAAATCACTGAGGCTACTAACCAACCAGATCAGCTCACAAGCCGAAAAAACCTCCTGCATAATGAAAATAAAATACCTTCGAATGAGCTATCGCCAGAGTATCAACCCAAACACGCCATCCACCATATTCATAACGAATAGCGTGATGAAGAAGAATGGCGAACATTTCATAAACTAGCTCTGTGATTTCTAACTGAAATATAGGTATTCAATCACAATCTTCTCGCAAGTCAGCAAAAGAAACTGCAAAATGGTCTAAATAGCAGTGTTTTACCTCCTCTTCTGACTTTGGAAAGACATATGAGATTGATATTAACCATTCCTGCCAAACAGACATTTGCAGAATAGTCCTGAAAGTGTTCTACATAGTGAACAAACTGCAAAAAGATGAGCATCTTTAGTTGGCAACTTAAAAAAACAGTGCTCCAATAATTACAGCCACGATAACAGCGCCAAAGAAAAGGGATGCCTGCTTCCATCAACCCGAATATTGGAGCAAAATGCTTTCAGAATGCGGCCAATCTCATTAGTTCAAAATCATGGGAAAAATGAAATAGAAGCGAAAAGAGTTACCTCCTATTGTCTTTGCAATCACGACACATGTTGATAATGTCAAGCAAGAAAGACTTTTTGACGCGCATAAGCTCATTCGATTCTGCAGATTGAGTGATCAAGTTGGCAATCACCTTGAGCATCATTGGGTTCTCAAATCTGAATATAAAACAGTAGTAACCTCATCCATTTCGACCTTAACACATTAACGACAGTGAGACGCGATTGCGCGTCTCAATTTCACCGATTCTGGCTAGTTTTTTTTCGATTTATCTGGCATTTTTCATATTTCAGAACAGTGTGCATGCATTATCTCATCCGAAAAACTGTGCATCAATCACCAGTAGTGGAAATTATTGAAAAAGTTTTGATGATTGTGAAAAAAATAAACAAAAAGGTGCCGAGGTACACGCACAATGGCTGTTGTCAATGTGTTAAGGTGTTCCTAAACGACCCGCTAAGGCGCTAGAAGGCGACAAAGCCGAAACGTGAGCCGAATAGAAGCTTTTGAGCTTATTTTAGTGTTCTGCCGTGCTTGGTTGCAAATTGAGTCATTATTCTAAATTATTCTAATGGATGCTGAGAAAACCAGGTATGTCAATATTCGAACTGTCGAACAAACAAAGTCGCACTAGAAGGAGTTTCGACTCTTTTTTTTAACAAACTCCACCCAACCTGGCTCCACATATCCAAAGCTTGCTATGCCAATTGCAGTTGAGTTTGCGATTAAAGCCAAATACGGGTTCAAATAACAAAAAAATACAGAACTAGTGTGAGACTGCAGCCAACTCTTATAGTTTGTAAGAAAAATTTATGAAGATACTAGCTCAAAGGTGGATCGAACGTTGAAAAGCAATAGCAACAATGTAAAAAAAAGAAATCCGTAAAAATCCGTAAATCGAACCTCCAGTCAGCGCTCGCTGCTTCCCTCTTAGAGTATGCGAAGTCCGGAGTCATTTGCTCAGTCAAAATTTCGAATAAAACAATGTAGGTCGGAATTGTGAGATAGTCAGCATGAATCAGTAATCGTTCAGTAATTAACGTATACAAATGACGAGCTGTCACCGACTCCGTCTTCCTCCTGGAAACCAAACAAAGACATGAATTTAGGATGGAAAAAAAATTGAAAGAATTTTTCAATCTGACACCCCACAAAGCCCTATGTTAAGCTGTAGCAATCTTCCATGTTCTATTGAGAAGTGTGGAAAAATAATGAAGATCTCAAAAGTTTGAATGGAGAAAAACACAAGTGAAACCTTTCAAAGAAGGAGAAATGAATGTATCAAGGTGCTATAAATCAACTTGGAAAGGAAGTGAAACCAGAAAGTGAGATAGCAAACAATAATCAGCTAAAGGAATGGATAGTTTCACAACGACATCGTTGTTGGAACCACCAATTTGGAGCCGAGTTCGAAAAGAATGTTGAAATATGATGCTTAGAAAAAATAAACAAGAACAGTTATCGTCCTTCTACCAGAAGCAAAACGTAGTTGCTAAAAACAAACAACTCACTTGAGCGTAGATCGTTGTAGGTAGAAGCCAAACATCTTAAGTGCTGGTATTCGAATCAGCTGATTTGGAGACGAAAGCAATTTGAATACGAGTCCAACAGCCTTGAATAAATAATTCATGAACCTGCTCGTGAACTTTAAGAACTTGTGATATAAATATTTAGTCGCATATGAGCTAGTTAGAATACCGCAAAAGCAAATGAATACCTTATCCTTGTCGAACATAGGAACCATTATATGTGGATAAAATCCTAGCAAGCGGTTCAGTAAAGCCAGCACATCATATAGGTTATCATCCTAAATAGACATTTTTCGACCAGGAAAATTGGGAGACGAGTTCGAATTCGGAGCATTAGGAATGAAGCTCAAGAGTAAGATCGAATGATTGAAGCATGATTAGCCCTTCAAGACATAAAAAACTGTGATCTACTGAATCAACGATTTAGGCACAATGACTTAACGGGCACGAGCAATGCCGTAATCACAACTTCAGAGCGATGTCCTGAAGTTTTTACCTCATGGACTGTGGCCACAAAATTCATGAGTTGATGGATCTCCTGTTCTCGGATCGCATCCTGGCTCGAACTGTTAGTCGGATTTAACAGGATCAGTCGGTTGAGGAAAACCAGAATTGAGCCCCTGGAATTACGAGGATGTTGAACTATATGGATGAATTAATTTTCCAAAACCTGTCAAAGAATAAGCTCTGCACGTATGACTATATGTAACGAATAATGGGCAGATACGAATAGCGGATCATTTGAACTTACCTAATCGCGATCACTGCTTCACTAGGAAACGATTCAGGCCTTTCTTCGACCTAAAAAAATCAGTTTTGATAGAAGACGCACATGTTTTTATTGAAAAATGGTAGTTTCAAGAGAAGGAAGATCTGACCTGATAAGCTGACGGCGTTTTAGGCAATGTTACCCAGTAATAGAACTTTAGTGCATGGCACATCTCTCCAAATGTGGCCACTTGACGAATTATGTGATGGAAATTGGTGTTTCCAAGAAAATCCGTTGCCAAATAGTTGTATAAGTGCACCTGTACGACAACAAAACCAACTCAATGACTTTTATAGAATTTAACTTAAATAAGATTTAACTCAGAAACAATTTTAACACATTGACGACATCGTACGTTTTGACTTTTTGGCCGCATGGGACAGGCGCGATTTTGTCAGCGTTGGCCGCCTCACCTCCCATACGTAAATTTTGAGTGATAACTATGCAAAACATGAATGGCACAAATTCATTTCAGCAATTTTGAATGTGTAGAAGCTGACTGGGAATACAGTCGTGGAATTACGATCGAAAGAGCGCACAACACTAATGAAAAAGCAAATTTAGTTACTTTTGCTAGAGAAGTTCCAAAATTATTTTGGACGTGACTGTTTGAGTGAAAACATATATTTTGCCATCATGTTTATATTTTCTTCATCTTTTTTATCCTTTTCACCTTCATGTTCATTTTAACGAAAAGAAACAAGAAATAAATCGATGACATTTTCAGATGATTTGGAAAACCACTGCCAAACTAAATCATATCGGCCCATTTTCTCAACCACATCATTTGTAATTATGCTTATGTGTGATTCACAGAATAACTACAAAGAACGTGGAAAGAAAAAAAATAAAATGTATGGTGGGCATACGTAGTTGCCACAATGTCTATGTGGCCTGCAAATGGTGGCATGCATAGCTGCCGCGTTGTCGCCAATGTGTTAAAACTGAAGCGAGAGGTGATTTAATAATTACCTGTACACTAGGTTCACTGTTAATCCACAACTTCGGATTGAACATAATGTGCTCGAAAAGCTGTTTAATAAGAGGTCCACCGGAAGAGCACCGCAGCAAGAATTTGGCCATGTCTATCACTTGTTCCGCTACCTTCATCGTGATATGTCTATTGGAGGACTAAATTAGAGAAGATTAACAGTTTTGAATCAGAACACCGATTTAACCTCGAAATGTTGCAAACGAAAGGACTAAAAGAAAAAAATAGTAAACTAACGCAACCTTTTGCAATGCATGCCCAATAATGAGGAACCCTTTGCTATGGTATAGTTGTTGTTGGATGGTCTGCGAGCTTGCCAGCAATAATGCAATAAGAGACAACAACGTAGAACTGTAATTATGAGGATCACAGTTGCCAAAACGAGATCAAGCAAATTATGGAGCTTTAGAAAAACAAACGCACCACATATCTCCGTCCATAGCGTTGCCATCCTCACAAGGAAGATCGAGCTGAGAAAACAGTGGAAGAAGGATTTGTATACCTCCTACTGATTGCAGAGAGCTGTGAATTGAGTGAGTGGTTATAACTTCAACGCCCTGAAAGACAACAGAAAACTTATGTGCAAGTCAAAAAATCAGTGCTCCCCAATGGAAAAGCACAGCCCTGGCATAAGAATAATGTTTCTGTTAGACCGAGTAAACCTCACTTCTTTCATTACGGCATGTGGGACTTGTACAAAGTATGCCGACGGAACCTTCGCTGGTGAATTCAGGCACAACTGACCGTGACAATTCTTTGGGCAGTAGGCCATAACAAGGGCATTGCTCAGGCGCCCGTCAAAAAGGTGCTAAATTCATAAGATTATACGTCGTTATAAATAAAAACTGCGACACAAACTTTTTTATATCCTTCCGGGAGATTACTTCCAGAGTCGTGAACGAAATAAGACTGATATGCAGGTCCAAGGCAAAACAATGAGTTGGCTTGCTCAAGCGATAAAGAGTCAGCGAAAAGGTAGACTGCACCCATCTGACCACAGAAGGCAGTGTCGGGATCGCCCTCGGGCGACACACCAATTGCACAGCGATCAAATTGCTCCGTCGTCGATACAGCCCTAAATCGTATCATTTCATGCTCTACACGATAAAATTGTGTGGAACAAGAATTTCATTGCCAATTGAAGGGTAGCCTATTTCGAACTTCGTCTAGAGATTCGCTGAACAATGGCGACAAGGTGACTTTTGGTGCATACTTCGCGTCAGAACGCACCTTTGTGCTTAAAGTATGAGAAATGCTTTTTATGCTAACCATAAGGTAAGTTTAGCAACACTATCCTGGGACAATTTAAACTCATGAAGAAATTGCTGAGCTTCGTTCACAAGTTCTGCTTGAAATAATTCCTTTCGAACATCCTTTGAATGAAGAAATGTGAAAGATACGGTGCGACCATAGCTTCTGCAGATGCTACCATGTCTCCTTAATGGAGATAAAGGAGATTCCACGATAAAAACTAAGGCCAAAGAGGGGGAAAATTGCCTAGTGGGAGACAGGCGGACCTCCTGAGGGTGTGGACTGACACGCAATTGGCAGCGAAAGATTTGACCTCGGCGATCTAGCATGGCTCACTCTTGGCGCAGTTGGCGGGTACGCCCACCGATCACTCGCCGCAGGTCTATACGGCGAGTGATTAGATAGCAGAGAGAGCGTAGTGTTGAAGAGGGCACAGCGATGAGAGTCGCATCAATGCTCAAATCAACGGGCAAGGAAGGGGTCCCATTTCTCGGGTTCTGGGCCGTTTCTCATGGTTTTCCTTCTTTCGTGTACCACTCACCATCCTAACTTAATTTATTTATTTATTTGCGTACAATGGATGCGCTCCCGCCATCTGGCAGGAATATGTTTTAAGGCCTGCCAAGTGGCTAGTAACATAACATGAAGGAGTAAAGAAAGAAAACAAAATCTCAACAATGAAAGATAAGACAACCGAAAACAGAGACAGCATGGAACCGGTCAAGGGTATGCAATGATTCGCGAGACTGGAAAATTAACGCAGAGTCAAGGAGTAAAGAGAGGGACTTACCATTCAAGCGATCGCATGGCGAAAGTTTAGTAGGAGATCAGGAAGGGAGAATCATCCAAAAGAAAAACTTAATTTGGAATGTATGGCTTTTCATCGTAAATCCTAATTTCTAGCAGTTTTTAACTGTATGCGCGTCGTACCTCGTTGCAAAAGTTTGTCACGCTGTGGGTACGCACTGGTGCACCTAGTCACAACGTGAGTTACGGTTGCTTTCTATGAACCGTGCTGAAGAATCGTTTTAATTCTCAAATTTGGTTGATGTATACACCCTCCCATTCCCCCACACCCCTCCTTCACATTTTTTTACGTTACATCACATTTGTTGGAAGTGGAAAGCACCGCGCAACGTCGCGTCATCTGCTCTTCAAATTTTAGTCCAGGCTCAAATTCGCGTAATCATATAATAGGTACCATGAACACGTGTTTCGCGCCGTGGGAACACCCTAAAGGTAGAGTAGACAGACAGAGTAATAGATTTCCCTACCGCAGTCTCTCGAACTTTAAGGTCCCAATCTTTGCAAACTCTAACCAACAAATTTCTTCAAGTTTGCCGAACTGTCGCAACAACACTCCTTCCTTTCTCGCCATGACAACAAAGAGGAGAATTTTCACAAATTAAAAAGGTGGCCGAACTTCTAGAGAGGAGCTGTTTGACGCAAACAGTACTATCATCATATGTACAACATATGTTTAACTCGGTTGACTGTTTCAAGAACACACTCTGTAGAGCATTACTAAGTGATTGAGCAAAAAAAAACCGCAACTTGTTCATTAATGAATGAAAATGCCAAAAAATAAATTGTAATGCAAAACGCCACAGTCACTAGAAATGTGACCCACCAGTTGATTTCGGCCGTCTCTGACAATTCACCATCAAAGTAGAACCTAATTTCGCTACGACCCCATCGAGAGTAAGAATGGGAGATCGCGATGTGATGCCACTTCCGAGGAGTTAACTCCTTCTGAAAGGAGCATAATTCGTCGGAACAACACACTTCGAGCAAAGTCGGACAGCGCACAGCTACAAACTGTGTGAAATTTGGTATAAATTCTAACCTTTGTACATCTAGTCACCACTTTTCCTTTCGATTTTTCCGCGGTAACGACTAATGCGTTCCCCATAAAATGACATGAATAACCAATCATTTTACTACTTCGAAAACTGCAATGAAGTTTATGAAATGAAAAATCGTCATCATAAAATTGGTCAGTCTACGAAAATCTAGGCTTACCAATAAAGATATGGTTTTTCTTTTTCGAAAAGAACACTGCACATTGGATCCATTCTTAACCATGTACTAAATGTCCAACCAGACTGGCAAGGAAATTTGGCGAAAGGAGGAACGATGATACCCTTGAAGAAAAGAGAGGTGACAAAAAACAAACACCAAAAAGCGGAATTCAAAAAAAAATTAGGCGAGAATCATCGTTCACCGGAAGACTCAATAGACCAGACAGAACAATACTGAAAAAAAAACTTACCGCTTGCGATTTCCCTGGAAATGAAAAGAAAACGTTTGCATCGTCCCGCACTGGCATTTGTTTCATCACTTGTAATAGTTTCAGAGAATTTCTAGGCTAGAAAAGAAGTTTGCTTTCTTGAAGAAATCCTTCACATAAGTCATTCCATGCCTATGCTGATGTTTCGATAAGAACAGAAACTAAACTTTGATCTTAGCCAAAAGGCCGAGAAGCGATGTGCACTCACCCATGCACGATTGACTGCTTGCAAGGAACGCAGAAATTGCTTTGTCTCCTTTACAGTTATGGAATAGTTGGTGAGGACTCCAAGAAGTTGGACAAGCAGATCGGAGAGCATTCCATCCGTTTCCGGTAAGATATCCAATATCCTAGAAGGAAGCTATCGATATAAGGCAATACCAATATTGCAACGGCCATATTGTTTGAACTTGATAACTTAGCGGTCACATCAGCATCGTGAATTGCTTTGCCAATTCTACTTGTATGTAAGAAAGAAATAGTGGCGAGGAAAGAGAAGATATCTCCCATGGTCAAAATTTAATAAAAGATTGTTGCGACCAACTTACATACACATACGTTAAACGACGTTGGTAGACACGTTTTTACCTTCTTTAATTTGGTATTGGAATGGTCTAGTCATGAGGATCGGGACCCTGCATTAGTTTTTATACTCACGATCAATCAGTATATTCCGCCACTTCGTTTAACCCTTCCTTTCTAGAAGGACACACCTCAGAAAACTTTTCTGTCTGCTAAGTATGTGACCTCCACTTACAAGCTTTGGAAGTAACGTCTCTCTGCTGAAATCCACGAGTGGCATCTGGTCCTTACCTGACCTGCCTGTTCCACGAGGGTGTCGGTATACTCGTGTCCCGAAGTTCAGGCAGGCTTCCCATTGCACCTATAGTAGTGCTATGGGCACCATTGCCGACTGGTGCAGGTAAGGTACCTGGATTACACTCAAAGTCACCCAAGTTTGAGAGGTCTTCCTTAGTTCCTCGCTAGAGGGTCAGCAGTGCTAATTTTCCCTCGTGCTGCTATCTCTTTGAATGCAGGAAAGGGAATAGGTTTGCAGTAGTCCTTTTATATCGTAGTTTTTAATAGTTTCGTGAAGATAATAGGGCTACCGTCCTCATTGACTAACCACAATGTTTTCTATTGTTTGTTTGTTTATAGGCGCGTCAACTGCACGCATGAATAAATAAATAAATAAATAAATAAAAATAATTGTTGGTACTTCAGAGGGACAAAGTCTAAAGGTGCTACCATCAACTGCCGTTTTACGCCGCAGTTCACGTTGCGAAAGTTATCACAAGAATGCTGGGTTGTGGGCAAAACTTTCGCCCCAGCCGGGATTCGTACCCTGACCTCTTGCTTTCCGGGCAATTGTGCTACCGTTACACCAGAGGTTTTGTCTAAAACTGCCCAGACATTTTTGTGAAAAACTCAGCCAGCTCAGCAGAGGACATAGAAAAAGGACGAAATAGAAAGTTCGTCAAAGATACGTGAAAGGATTTCGAAAACGACTGATAGGAAGCGAATGCCGGCATCAGAAGCGCATGGTGTAAGTACCTATCCTGTTAAAAGCGTTTACAGCGTGTAGCAATGAAAGGCTGGTTAAAAAAGCGAAGGGCGTCAAATTTAAATGTAGGTGTGCGGGTTAGCCGAGTCTCCAGAAAAATAATAACTGCTTCGCAACCACTGTGTGAACGTCACATTGGAGCTGCCACAGGAATATGGCTACCATAGTAAACTTATGAAATTTTTGGAGATATTTTCCATTGAGTGGGAACGAAAGACGTAGACTCTCAGAATCTCAGAGAAGGATAATATAATGTTACACATTTGTTCGAATGGCATTGCAAATTTAAAGGTTAATAATGCAAAGGCTTTGTAACAATGAAGTGTTCACCCTCAAATTTCCACGATTCCTGTAGGCATTAAAGCTGTTGAGAACCATCTCACATTTACTTTTCAAGAGAAACAAAACTTTTCACAGAAAGAACCTACAGGCCCAATACTAGTATAAGTTGTATAATACTTTAGGGAAAATAGGAACTTATGTTTTCCAAGTACATTCCACTTTATTGTACGATTCACGGACTAATAAAAAATAACAAATGACAAAACTTGAAATACTTGAAAAAGCAAATTGGTATAGTTGGCCTACTTGGAAATTAGTGAGATCCTTGAGCACGCTTCCAAATTTCGCTTGCTCTTACGAACAATTGCTAGGAAAACACTCCAGATTTCCGCCTGAAGAAAAGGGTGTAAGGTTTTATTATACCAAGCGAAATAGAAAAAAGAAGAGGAAGAAGTCCCACCTGCAAAGTTTCATCCGCATGTGTTAACAGCGTCAGCATTCTTTCAATATTGCTACTGTCTTCAATAATGTATCTTGTCTCGAGATCGAATTGACCTCCGACCAGCTGAAAGACGACAGATACAAAGCTGCCTGCACTGATGATGTTGAAAGGAAAATGATTAATGGGATTAACTTTCATCAAAGAACAATCAGGGAAAGTAAAGAGCTTGATGAAGAAGAACAGAAACTCAGCTCAAGGCACTTTCTAGCCAACATTGTTACTTAGTAAGAGATTTGGATCAAAAAGCGCCCTATATAGAAACGTATGCCATCAGATTTTTTTAGACGATAGTCTCGATCGATTGAAGAGAAATATCTCTCGAGAGGAGGATTTTTGACAATTCTCTACACAACTGAATTGGGCTTACATGTTGAGGAAAAAACCAAAAAAGCTGGTCAACCAATTTATTACTTTTATTTCCCCATGGAAACTGACATCGATTAGGAGCAAGTCATGATGTCTAGATTACGAACGTCCACTCTTATCTTGCCAAAAGCGGTTGGACATCAGAAGGAATGAGAGTATTGCAACAGAAAATCAAAATATGGTCTCAAACCTCTCCTAAAGATAGTTTCAATTCTGCGAGAGTGACCAAAAACAGTAAATCAAAGGAGAATCGAGAAGAAAGCGCAAAAATTCAGGCTGACTTACTGGAAATGTTAGAGAAACTCAAACTGTGGAGACGCCAAAACTTCCCATAACCCCACTAAAAATAGTTTCTCTAGGAATATCAGTTTTGATCACAGACCCATAGGCATATAGTACGATAGAACGTTTCTTTGAGAAGTGATTATGTCGACTTGAAAATTCCTTCTACAAGGAAGCGGAACGAAAAATTGTAAGGAAAACTCCCATCTTCGCACTTGATTGTGTCTAAAAAATTTCGGAGCGCTTCAACGAATGAAGAAAACGAAAAGCAGCTCACAGTGTTGAAAAGTTGATCTTCTATCTCACTCTTCTCCATAGATCCATCTTTGATACCGCGGATTAGACGCTCAAATGTTTCCTGAGGTGACTCGTCACTACTGTGAATAATCGTTGTTTTTGACATGATCCGCGGTAATGATGCCACCGCTTCCGCCTAAAAGCTGAATAACTCAGAGAACAAACCTATAATTCTCAAATTTGTTCCTGATAAGCACTAAATTTACTCCCTCCGGGATTTCAGGAAATATGGAAGGAATGGTAAATATAAAAGTCGTAATGGTAAGGCCAGAAAATATGTCGAAATTGCAAAATGGGAGATAATCAGTGGTCTTTCGCCACATTTTTCTTCTCCTACCATTTTTCTTCTCCTACCATTTTGGGGTTGTATAAAGTGTATACGAACTAATACAGTTGAGAGCTCCCCCACTTTCTTCACGATTTGGGGCGCGGCCGCGGCGAGCGCGGACGAGTTGATAGTGCCCGCGAACTGTGGTGGTGGAGCGTTTTCAAACCGCACAGTTCGCGGGCACTATCGACTCGTCCGCGCTCGCCGCGGCCGCGCCCCAAATCGTGAAGAAAGTGGGGGGGCCTACAGTTGAGTGGGAGCGAGAGAAACCTCAGCACCCCACAGTTTCTTGGCTTCAGTTTCAGGAATTGCATAAAAACGGAATAGCTTGGGAGTAAGCTCTCACCAACCCACAACATCAACACTGCAAATATAAAAGCAACGAATAATGAGGGAGAGCAACCGAAATGATGCAATTTTTTCACAGTACAGTTCATGTGCTGTGAAAAAAGGAATAGTAATGGCGTTACTATAACACCACTTGAGACCACAGGAAACATAGGTGGAAAGCTTTCAAAATTAAACCCAAGGCAAAGGTAAAACTGAAATACACACGCTGACAGGAGTTGCTGCTCTTGAATCACGTCGCTGAAACGCCGCGATGCTACCGCGACGACTTGTGGGCACTGAAGGTGACGGCGTCGGCGATTGAGTAAGATCCATTTCGATTTCATCTCCAAGAGCACCTGCTGCATCCCCGAGAATATCCATCAGTCGGGAAGGGAGTACCACCTGAGACAGTTGAGAAGCATGCAATAAAGGGAAGCACACAAATAGCAGCTACGCCCACGGGAACATGCAGCAGAACGTGTAGAAACTGAGAACTGTGGACAGAGGCATTTGTAAGGGCAACAAATAAACTGATGAACACCAACTAGGAAATTGTCGCACCTGGACCCGTAGCACATCATTTTCAGGGAGCGGATCAAGGCGAGGTGCATCAGGCACCGAGATTTCTTCCATAGACGCATTCTCCACAGAGTTAAGTGACGAAATACTTGTTTGCATATGGGACTGCGGAGCCGACAGAGCATTGAACGATCTCAGCGTGTCAGAATCAGCTGAGTGTCGCTTCAGTGCGCTTGTTGCTTTCATATCTGAATTACCTTAATGATGAAGAACGAGGGAAAACTTTCATTAGAAGGGAATTGAGAATAGATCAAAATTGAAGCACTGATGCACAAGACCAAGATTTCAAGGAAAAAGAGTTTCACTGTATCTAATAGTAAGTACTCGATCGTGACAAAGAAGTGTAAGTTGGGTTAAGGAAGCAAATGCATCGTAATGGCTATCGGAAGAAAAACGTCAGCAAAAGAAATACCGTCATCTTTTCCATTGCCGAATTCTCTGATTTGACCAGGAGCAGAATGTGACGAAGAATAAAGATTTTTATCGACCCTAAATGATCAATGATGGCCACATCAAAATTTTCCAACATTAGCATTGAGGGAAACGAAATCATATTATTGCACTCACAGTCGTCATGGACACCATCAAACATTACAATAAAACATGAATGGATAATCGGAATGGCAACATCTACTATTTACTCACTCCAAAGGCAGCGAGCTGCTGTTGTAGTCCTGATCGGTCGTTTGAGAGTTGTCCAACGCAATAGAATCCATTTCCTCGTATTCTTCAGCCTCGCGCTCTACAGAATTACTGAAAAAAAAGAAAATGTGGGAAGAAATTGGAACGATACACGAATACGCACAACATGATGAATGAAAAGCCGACTTGCTTCCAGAGCAAAGATTTACCCTATAGATCGTAATTAAAAAGTGCATCCGAAATATGTTTCGGTCCAAGCTAAAAAAAAACTGATAAAAACTCATTGGGCCGTTGACGACCGATGTTTCCCAATTGTGTGACTTTCATCTTCCTGGACCGACGCTAGAAGTGGAATAAGCGAACTCCTTTTGTGCAGTTTCAAGTCCTTAGCGTTTAGGTAGTACTCAGAAAGGTACTTAATTACTTATGGAGGCCATGCCCCATGCATACTTCTTGATAAGCTGTTTTGCCTCGAGGCCGCATTGACCTATAGATTTTCCCGTAAAGCTATATTTTGAATGCAGTTAGCCAAATATCAATGAAACTCTTGATATCGAGAAGCATCCAAATTTAATTCAGTCACGGGTTCTAAAGTCATAAATTTACAACCTAGTACTTGACTGGTTAGTAGGAAATAGAAAATATCCAAGGTTAAGGAAGGACACTTCTCCACTCAAGTGTATCAATCGAAGGAGGCGTGGCAGCGATTACTCGCTCCTTCTTACCACGGCCAATGGCACACCACAGTCCTAGCGATCAATCATCCATCATTTGTGCAAAATCGTTCCAGTCGCTAAGTCTAACATCGGCCATAGTGAGCCAGTCTTTTTTCGAGCGACCCAGCGTTGAAAATGAACGGTAACTCCAACAGTAAATGAATAAAATAATATAAGGAAATATCTATAAAAAGACTGTCTTTCAGGTAAGCTCTTCACTGAGAACCCACAAACGTAAAATCAGAAACTACTGCAAAAAGATGAATTCATATCCTGAAGAATAAGAAGGAGACGAGAACACAATTTGAAGGCGAACATACCGAACATCGTCCAGGGAGATATCCTGGAGATTCGTTATCACATCCGGCACAGGTGAAGAATCGAACAACTCCGCATTTGGTTTCTGCTCTGAAACGGAAATCAAGAGTATTTGCACAAACAGAGAAGGTGACACCTAAGTCGCTCTACTTCGAACGAACTTCCTGGAAACGGAAAAGTTTTTGGAAACGTTTCCATTTTTATCCAGCACAATTAACTAGGACAAGAACGCTTAAAGTTAATGATAATGGCGACACAATCCAATAACACAAATTCAGATAAGAAGTAGTAGTTGTACAGAAAGAGGTGGTTCAAGCCACTAATTATGGAATGCAGAAGAATGTTAACGCTCAGCAGTACAATCTCGATTGATATCACTGCTATAAAATTTTCAGTCATCTATGAAGAAGCCGATGAAAACACTTTGTTTTTTTTTTAAATAACAATTGATGGATTCTCGCTCCCAGGATATCTTACAAGTTTCACGCTATCATTTTTGGAGCCGAGAGAATAGTCTTTTGTCGTTGAGCACTTTTCCAGTCACTTTTGGTCCTGGCATGACGCTGACGTAACAAAGCCAGTGGACCCTTTCTGTTGTGAAAGCTTTTATACTTTTCTCGTAGGAACATCTTCCAAATACCAAACAGTTCTCGGCCGAGTTGTTAGTTTCAATCTCCAGGGAAATTTGAAATCAGCTTCTTTGCTTGACGATATTGGAAGGTGGGGAGAGGGCGAGTCGAGCGTATCAATTTCCATTTTTTTATGATTAGCGAGTTTTTGCAATTGTTATTTAAAAAAAAACAAAGTGTTT